ACACACACACACACACACACACACACACACACACACAGACACACACTCATCCTTAAACTCAAAAGCTGAACAGGACTCTGTTGTAAAAATTGTTATAGAACAACTGAAATAAATGTGAACTTTCCCTGAAACAGGAAGTTGTTATTATGTCTAACTTGCCCTGGGTCTCAGTCTGTTTTGACCTGTTATCTACAAGCTGATTTGCCCTTGAAAACACTTTTTATGATTCAGCATGAGTGGAAGCCAGATTCATTTTTGAGCTCTCCCGCAGGTCATTGTATTTCGTATTATATCATGTATGTATTTCCGTTATACTTGTTACTGGATTTTTCTTGGAACATATTGGCCTATCGCAGCGTTACTGCTGTAATTTTCCTCCCTGCTTGCTTCTGCTGTCATCTGTTTCACTGTTTTCTAGTTATGGTTGTAATTGGATGAATGAAATGTAGACCTACACTTAAATCACTTTGTTTTTTAGTTCAAGATGGTGGTCTGCCTTCCAATGCTGGATGAGTCGGGGCATTGCCAACTGCTGTTTTTTTAAAGTGCACAGGCACTTTTATTCCTCACATCTGATCAAATAAATGTAGGAGTTTAATGGAAGAAGAGGCTGACTGGTGCTTCTGTGCCTGTTACCGTGTTGTTGTTCTGAACAGGGCTTGAAGGGAGATGAAGTCAATGTGCTGGGTGTAGTGCACATAAATAGATATTAGGCACTGTCTGCATTACATCCTGTGGATGCTTTACAGCAGACTGACTGGTGTTATTTACATGAAAGGTGTTTATTTTCTAAAGCCCAACACTTTGTAATGGTCCCCCAGATGATATGAATGTATGCATGTACATTATTATATAGGAGATTATTTAAGGCCTTTATTCGCCTCTGAAAATTTTAATTACAAGTGTCAAAATGTACACAGTATACGACCTGAATCAGAATTTTACTGCAAATGATTTCAAATGTTTATTACATGTTTCTGAATATTTAATTGAGGCTATTGAGTTATGGCTCAAAGTGCTGGCACATCATTATGTCTTTTCCCTAGCAGTCACCCTTGGCTCTGGCGAGCAGCTGCTGTTGCTGAGGAATCATTGACATGCGCTCCCCCTGAGCTGCCGACGCCTCCCTCAGCGGTGTGGTGGCACGATGCCAGTGCAGGCGGCCCAGTGGACAGAATTTCTGTCCTGTCCCATCTGCTACAATGAGTTTGACAGCAGAGGCCACCAGCCCATCAGCTTGGGATGCTCCCACACGGTGTGCAAGACCTGCCTCCACAAACTCCACCGCAAGGCCTGTCCCTTCGATCAGACGCCGATCAGCACTGACATCGACCTGCTGCCGGTCAACTGCGCCCTGCTGCAGCTGGTGGGCGCTCAGGTGAGGCAGCAACGGGATAGAAACGAGCGATCGCAAGACTTTTGCTTCAAACTTAAACTTTGTCTGCTTGGTGTGCGTGTATATCTCCGGTGTTCGTTGATGCCAGATCCCTGATGTTCAGCCGGTTAGCCTGAGCAGTACAGCGGAGGTGGAGCACTATGAGGTCTGCAGGGTGTGTGTAGAAGAGCTGGCTCTCTACCTGAAACCTATCAGCGGCGCAAAAGGTAACGATGCCCGTGGGGGTTTGCTAAAAAGCGTTTAATTTTCATTGAGCTGCCTGCGTAACATCTAACGCCTTACTGCTCACACCTCTCCTGATACTGGAAGCTTTTACTTTAAATTTTCATATCAACTAAAACCGGTTCAGCCAGTTCTGGTTGAGTCATAGCAACTGTCAAGATTTTCTTTTGCGAAGGACGTTACTCGAGCAGTTCATGCCCTGTTATCTTAAAAAGCACAAAAGACAAAAGGTGTGAATTTTGTGGGAGTTAAGATGTGAGATGAGCTTTTGGAATCTAAATTAGCTCTCAGAATGGACGAGTCAGACTTTTTTGTGGATAAGTCATGTTTCTTTGTTTCAGGGGAGCATCAACTGAAAGAATGTTATCATTGTGACTGTTAGGGTTAGTAAAAAAAGACATGCTGTTTAACCCCAGAGCTGACGCTCCCCACAGGTGTTGCAAACCTAAGTCCAAGCGTGCTCAGCCGGCCCATGCAGAGGAAGCTTGTGACGCTGGTCAACTGTCAGCTGGTGGAGGAGGAGGGGCGTGTGCGGGCGGTGCGGGCGTGCCGGTCCCTGGGGGAACGCACGGTGACCGAGCTCATCTTGCAGCACCAGAACCCCCAGCAACTCTCCGCGAACCTCTGGGCGGCCGTCAGGGCTCGCGGCTGCCAGTTTCTGGGACCCGGTACGTGATCAACAGAGCATTCAATTGTTTGAGAAGAGAAAAGTGGCACAGCTGTGAGTCAGCCCGTATAAAAAAAAGAAAATGATTCCAAGCCCATGTTGTGGAAACGTACAAAACCTTGGTCAATTTGCAAGCCGTAATGACAGCACACTTATTGCATTGTGGGCATGTGAGGCACAACAAAGCCGAGCGAAAACATTTGAAAGGAACATGAACAAAAAAAGAAAAAGTTGCAGTTTTGTCAAAACATCTGACAAAAACAAAATGAAAAAAGAAATTCACATAAAAAAAGAAGATAATTTATTTTCTACTTACCACTTTGTCCTTAAAGCTGTGCTTTTTGACCATGAGAAATTTCAGGTGACGGGAATCTTTGTTCCCAAAAGTTGCCATTGAAGTTATCTGTTGTTGTTTTTTTTTTGCTTCCTCATCAAACTGACAGCTGGTGCTGGTACCCGGTGTCCTGTGATGATTACTCATAGGGCAGATTCTGACTGGGAAAGAGTTTCTCATCGTGATAACAAAATGAGTTCATTGAAAAATCTGAGGACACCTGTTTTCAAAAGTAGAGCTGTCTGTTGTTTGGTCTTGTCCATATCACTGTAGAAAATGTAAAGATGCACGGTGTGCAGTGTTTCTGTGGATTCACTTGCTGCTGTGTGAGTGATTGTGTCTGCCTTCTCCTCAATTCTCCTTTTTTTGTTTCTTGTTCTGCCTTTTTCCACTCCCATCTTTTGCCTTTTGCCCTCATCTGTCTCAAACCGATGTTCATCAGCTATGCAAGAAGACGCCCTGAAGCTGGTTCTACTTGCTCTGGAGGATGGCTCAGCTCTTTCCAGGAAGGTGTTGGTTTTGTTTGTTGTCCAGAAGCTGGAGGCCCGATTCCCCCAGGCCTCTAAAACCAGCATAGGCCATGTGGTGCAGCTGCTGTACAGGGCCTCCTGCTTCAAGGTACGGGCACCGGCATCGATCCTCGGATGTAACAACTCAATGATGATGTGCCAAAGCTGCACTGTCAAGTGCTCCGTTGAGATGAATATGAATAACAGTGAAAAAAATGTATTTTTCCAAAGCTACCATCATTGTCACAAATTGAATTAAAATAATTCTGAAAATGTCTTGGGTAACGCTGGAATGTTCTTTAGATTAGAAGGACTCTGTCTGACAGCTCCATTATATATGCACGAAGAGTGTTGCTGCCAGCTTAATAAAGCTCATCTCCGAAATCAGGATACGAGCTTCTAGATACGCTTTATGAGTGTATTTCTGGGCCTGTTATCTGATGACAGACATCAGTGGCAGGGCAGAAATGTCAGCTATCTGCCTGTGATGTAACGGCAGTCTATATTTGCCCTCGCTGCCCGGCCTGGCAGGCCAGAGGCAGACAGCGTGGAGATAAAAAAGAAAGATAGATGGGTCGAAGAGAATGATGGAAGGGGTTTTTACATTTGTAAATGGAGTATTTTGGTGTCTTATGATGATTACTCATAGGGCAGATTCTGAGAAGGGGAGAATCCCCTTTGTGTGATCTGAGCTTGAGTTTGCAAGTCTGAGGACACCACATCCAGTCAAAGCAAATTAATTGTTACACACACTGAGAATTTTCCAAAGAAAATAAAAAAACACCAACACATTTTTCTTTGTGTCCCTCAACCTCCATAATGTGTCATCACTGACAGGTGACCAAGCGTGATGAGGACTCCTCTCTGATGCAGCTTAAGGAGGAGTTCCGTACGTACGAGGCTCTGAGGAGAGAGCACGACGCTCAGATCGTCCACATTGCTATGGAAGCGGGCCTTCGGATCTCCCCCGAGCAGTGGTCCTCTCTGCTGTACGGAGACCTGGTCCATAAGTCGCACATGCAGTCCATCATCGACAAGGTTCCTTCATGCTTTACAGCTGGACTCATGTTTCTAACATGCCAGTGTGGGATAAATACACTCAATTGCCATTTAAGTTTGTAAAGAGCGACTCTTTTACCTGCTCTAGTTGCAGTCTCCCGAATCGTTTGCGAAGAGCGTTCAGGAGCTGACGATCGTTCTGCAGAGGACCGGAGACCCTGCCAACCTCACAAGCCTTAGACCACACTTGGAGCTCCTTGCTAACATTGACCACAACCCAGGTACTTCGCTCTGTCAAACAGCAATCAGCTCAAAGGACCCTGCATCTGAACGGTCACCACCACAAAGGGAGAAAAAAAAGCAGACAGCTCCGCTGCACTCTTCCCAGATTGCATTTCTGTTTGAAGCGTTTGTCAGAGAACGAGGATGGAATATGTTGTTTGATGAGTTTTTCACTTTTAAAACAACCACTCAGCCCTCAGAACTGAATTCTGCCTTACAGCTCTATATTAAGCTTGCTTCTGGCATCATGACAAAGCTTTTCTCATATTTTATCCAGACTCAGTTTAGATGATGATACTGCTCGCTGCATATTTATACAGATTGGTTAACATCCAAAAATTACGATCAGAGATTTTCTGTGAAATATTCACTCAAATAATAAATGGATGATGGGTGGCTGATCTGTATGCCTGACACGTTTTTTAAAGTGGTTTGAAAAATTCTGTTTTTCATGTAATATAATACCATTCAAAGAATTTAAGCCTCATGCTGTTGATGTCTTTGCAGATGCACCCCCACCATCATGGGAAGAACTAGAAAGCGTCATGCTCGCTGTGAAGCTGGTGGTTCATGGACTGGTGGAATTTGTTCAGAACTTCAGCAAAAAGAGCCACGACACTCCACAGGTACACTGACAGTTGCAAATGTAGTCAAGATGACAAATTTTTGGTTATCTTTGAATCATACTCACAGTGCACTGAATCAACCCTCGTAAAGCACATCCTTGACTTTCTAAATAAAAAATAGCTTTAAGGTCATGGAGTGGTTCCTGATCACTAACATCACATCAGTTTCAAAACTACTGATGGTCTGACTGATGCATAAGCATTTAAGTAAAACACTTGGCATATAATGCAGTTGTGATTAAATACAGTGTAATATGCTTGAAAAGTTCAGTTAGGCAACTGGAAGTTTTAAAGCTTGACCATGACCTGGATGACTGAGAATATTCACAGATACAGTGCAATATAAAAAGGGCCATTTTTACCGAGCTGATTGGATTTTGTGTTGGAAAAGGATCAAACATTTTCCATAGAAAGAGAAACCTTTTTTCATTGCTCAGAATCATTGATGAATATGATTTTGAATAGTTTAAGAAATTACTAAAACAACAATCCTGCTAAATATGCATATTTCAGTAAAGTTTCTGGTTTTTTTTACTGGCAAGCAAACATGGCTCTAAAAGAGCACAATTAAATTTTTAAAATGATATTTATCTGTAAGCTTTTTACAAAGTTCCTGCATTTTGACGATATTAGATATTATTCAACACTCTGTAATGTTCAGGACTTTTCAGTTAATGTGTAAATACACTGTGGATTTTGCAGCCTCAGGCCAACAGCAAGTACAAGACCAGCATGTGCCGAGATCTTCGTCAGCAGGGTGGATGTCCACGAGGAACCAATTGTACATTTGCACACACGCAAGATGAGCTGGAAAAGTGAGCAAAACCATTTACACCAACTTCAAGTTACCTAAAAGATCCATTTTGCTCATACTTTATTACATGTAGATCTATATCACTCTTCTGAGCAGGTGTTAATTTTTCACCTGGTCTTTTATCTTTCTTGCTGTGCCTCTTCTTCTCCACAGATTCAGACTGAGAAACAAGAAAAGCGGAAGTGTGGGTCGTGCCTTCCCTCTTGCCCCGGGTGTCATGAATAAAAACTACTCCATGGAGGGCGGTATCCACGGTGATATGTCTGCTGGAGTGGAGCAGGGTCTCAAATGCTCGGGAGAGAACGCAGCCATCACAGAAGGAGTTCCCAGCCTCACTCACCCACCACTGATTTCTAGAGGGGCTGACATGATGGAGGTCATGAAGAGACCTGAGCCAAATGGAACTAGTACAACCAATGGAACAAGCAGGCTGTCTGGCAGCAACAGAATCACATCAGGGTCAACAGAGCAGTAAGTTTAGGCTTTCATTTTTTGCTTGAACATACGCTGACATTTAGACAGATAAAACCGTAGTATCTTTCAGAGCTTAACACAAATATTGCTTTTTTCCCCCTATTCTTGGTTTTACCCCAGCTCATGTTGCAGGCCGATATTAACAGTGCAGTCCGGTCAATGTGTCCAAATATAATGAATGATGAAAATAATATTATTTTTAATGTAAAAATTAAAAGTGATCGCATTTACAACTTGTGTGTATGTTGAATATGAGGGTTTCCTTTAGTCAACATTCTGCATCTGAGCATTGCCAAATAAGTGATTTCCCCTTAAGCTTCACGTCAGTCCTGTGTCCATGCTTTCTCTTTTTGTCTGTTCTGTAGGAGGTCCATCTCTCCGCCCAGGACTCCGATCAGCCATTCATCCGCGTCTTCTCCCTTGTGCACAGCTGGTCGTGCTGATGGCCCTGCTCTCCTCCCCAGACACAGTCAGTTAATTTTGGCTTCGCCACATCCCTCTCAGGCGTCAGAGCTGTACTACCAGGAGACCCACCCTGCGTATGACACTGCCCACTATCAACCAACCTGTAGGATATTTACAAGATTCATTTTGAACCTGAAGTGAATTGTTGGCATGAGTTAGAGTGAATGATTGTCCTCTCCTCTGCAGCAGGTTCCTACTATCCATCCACTCTTCATGCTCCTCACAAAGCCTGTATGGCTCGCTTCCTTCGATCCTCCAACGTCCCAGAATCCTCTCTTCCTCCATCCATGGGCCCTCCTTCGTCTTCATACCCGAACGACCCTCAGAACCCGCATCCGCCCTCCTCCTCTTCGTCAGGGTATCCACCACACCCACCAAGAGAACGGATGGGTCCTGCTGCCTTCCATCCCCACCCGGGCGGGCATCAGTACGGGCCTTTGGCTCCTACTCATGGTGTTTACGCTCCCCTCTACGACAGCAGGAGAGTTTGGAGGCCTCAGGTAGGCCCTCTGTTAATGATCATTCTACTGTATGACTTGGTCTTTCTGGATTTTACTTGATGATGATCTTTACTGTTACAGCTGTATCACAGAGAGGATGCCAGGAGTAACTCACTGCCTCCAGAGGTGTTGCATTCCTCCGTCTACCAGCCTCCACTCAGGGAGAGATTCAACTCTCTAGATAGCAACTACTGTTCTGGAGCTGAACACCGTGCAGGGCTACACAGGGTAGGTGAAATAAAGCCCACCGTCCACTGTGACCAAAGTGTTTTTTTTAGCCACATGTAGTGTGATTCACAGATGAGGCAACGGCCCACCGGCTCCCATTAAAATCATTGGTCATTAACCTTTTAAGGCATAAGTTGTGGGACTGTCCAAACAATGGCACCATCTATTTTAACTGCTAGTGGTCTGACGAACAATGAACAGATTCATGGCTCAGTTTTTTCTCTGAAGATTTTCCTTATCTTCTTTTCCGTTTTTACACCCACGTATTGGCTCACCTCTGTCTTCCCTTCCAGTCCCCGAGCCGCAGTATGAGACTTCAGCCTCCACTCGGATCCTCCCACTTCTCACCCATTTGCGTCTCTGCTTCTCCCACTCACTTCTCTCCTTCTCAGATCATCATATAACATTGACAATATATGAGCTGCAGCGCAGCGGCGCCTTTTGCCCACAGCGCTGTGTATGGACAGCGTGAGGGTGTAATGTGTGCAAATACTTGTTCAGATAGGAGAGGACTAATACGTACAGATTAGAATTGATTTAAAAAAAAGCCCATAATAGGTTTGTGCAACATCTTAACTTTTCCATGCACTAAGCTTGCTACAAGAAGGTATAAATTTAGTATGGTATTTCAAACTTTTTGAAGAAATTGCATCTGCACCTTCATCTCTGTGTAAAACCAGGCCAAACATAAAAGCAATTATAGTTCGTCGCAGTTTGAGTCAAATATGTTCACCACATCATCACAAAACTAACAGTGTGTTGAAAAATTAGTTGCCCTTTATTTATGCTTGTATAACCATCTTTTCCTAATCTTGTTATCGCTTTTGATTCTGCTACAACAGGACTATGGACGTGTTCCTCTTGGCTATGAGGACATTTTCAGAAGGAAGCAGGAGCAGTGGGCTAGTCATCATCACCATCACAGTGCCAGCAGACCCTCCCAGTCTTCCCCCATCTTCACCATTGACTATCAAACAGAGGTAGAAAGCAAATAACCAAGGCAACATATTTCACGCTTCACACAAAGCATTGTATTGAGTATTTATATGCACGATAACTCTGACTCTCGGGAGCCATTATCACTGGTATATTTTTAGTGCCAGTGTAGCCTCTTCAAACCAATGGTGGCAAACTGTTGACTTTACCGGTTTTGATATTGTTGTGTTTAATTTCGATCCCAAAAGCTTGGTCTTCTGCTGTGCACAATGCTATTTAAGTGGGAGATGGTTGCCTAGCAACTGTGGAAGAAAATATCGTAGCAATGCACAATTGTAGAGTGTGTAGGTGCATGTGTGATAGAGACAGAGAGAGAGAGAGAGAAAGGGAATGGAAAAAACTTTACCAAGCTGTGACTAAGGCATTTAGTTGAGTAAGGCTTTGTTTGACAGCAGGTTGTGTTTTTATTTTTTCTGTAAAGGAGATTAATAAATTAACCACCACTTCAAGGGGGTTAAATTTGGATTTTGAGGCTTCTACCTCTTAAAAAAGAGCCAGAATGTGCAGGAAAAGTGTTTGCTCATTTCGTCAGGAATTCTTCATGATTGATTACAGCAAACAGAGGCTGTTTTATTGGGCATACCAGCTCCATTGTTCTAACTTATCTAATATCTATTGTGATACTTTTGTCTCCCCCCTCTGGAAAGGAAAGCAATAGCACTAATACTGCTATCATGTTCTTCCGTATATTATGAAGAAAAATTGAATCCCGTTCCAGTAAAATGCCAAAGTTGATCTGAGTTGATCCGAGATGCAAAAAGAAAACATGAGTAAATGCAATTTCCTGAAAACATAACAATAAACAAAAATATTTTACTTTCAAATCAGTTCTGAATTTTTTAGTCTTCAGGACTTCCTTATAAATACATTTAAAAGTTAGGTAGCCAAACATTTGTAGAAATTCAGAAATTTCCTCCTCCATACCCCTCTCTTCTCTTAGCTCTTCCACCGAGGGAAAGCCATCCGTGTTAGCTTGCTCCATGCACGGCATTCCTATTAATGCCAAGTTTCTATTTTTGCAGAGGAGCATCAGACATTTTTCTTGCATGCCTCTGAGGTTCTTCATGCTGCAGGCGCTGCGGTTTCCCAAGCGGCTGCAGCCTCCTCCACAAATGTTGACACAAACTGCCGTCCTAAACCTCCGGTTTGCTGTGCAGCATTAAAAAGAACATGATATCTATTGTCTTATATTATTTTGTCCAACGTATCAGATGTATAAACATCTTTAGAAAGAAGTTATACGTCCACAAAGAAACTTACTGGCGGTAAAAGCCAACCCCACCAGGATATTGTTTTTGATGAAAATGAAATCTTTAAAATATCAAACCATACAAAAGAAAATCACCATGCTTCTCTTATTGGTGTCTGTTTTTTTTCCCGCCTGTCTTTTCAGCCAGTGGAAAGTAGTGGAGGTCAGTGTGCAGGGTGCCGGTTTAGAGGTGAGGAAAGCTTGGCGCACTACTCGCCGTGGTCCTGCGGTACCATCGGGCCGTGCCTCAGCCCCTTCGAGTCTGAAACCCTCTCCCACTCCTCGGCTCACTCCTGCTCGGACCGCTCGGTGAGACTCCTCACACACCTGCTGGCAGACGAGGACCCTCACACAGGCAGAGACTCATGTTTTTTTCTTTGATCTCTGCAGGAACTGGACAGTAGCGAAAGTGGGAGTGGTGGGAAGCGGTGGCTGCATTCGTTGGATCACTACCGGCGCTTAAAAGACGAGGACCCAATCATTCCCTTTAGCGAGGGGCCTATTATCTCAAAGTGGGGAGCCATCTCAAGGGCGTCCCGCACGGGCTACCACAACACTGACCCCGTCCAAGCTACAGCCTGCCAGAGCGGCGCCAGCACCACGCCCATCAACTTTAAAGGTGGTTGTCACAGAGAGAAATCATTTGTGAAGTCTTCTTTCTATTCGACTGAAGAGACAACATCATCTCATAAATCTGTCTGACAGAGTATCTTACTTTTTCAGGATTTCATTTTAAGCTTTCGTTTGTTTTTTGTTTTTACTCCCTTCTTTACTCTTCAGATTACAACTCCCACTTGGATCACAGAGACTACAGGTGGAGCTCCAGAGGATCAGACTCTTCCAGCCACTCCAGTTTCTTAGAGAGGTATGACATTCAGCTTTTGTGTGCCTGTGAAATCTGTTTCAGCTGTTAAATCTTCCTCATATCAGAGGGTTTTTTTAAACAATCTGCTATTCGGGAATTTTTTTCTAAGCAACTTCTGTGTTTCTTTTGCATGTAAAATAGCTTCTACACTTTCAGGCCTATCACTATCACTTATCAGGCAATACATAGCTGGATAATCCATGTTTCTCTGCTTGGTGCAGCTTCTGGCTTGTCTTAACTATTTTATTAACAATCTCATACACAAAATTCTGAGGGGAACCGTTCTTGTCATCCATTTAAACAGACCACTGCAACCTTCCCCTCAAGGGCCATTGTTAACCCTAAGAAATCCTGCTTGGAGCACTGTTGCTTGTGGTTCTTAATGTCTGTTTGATTTTCTCCACAATGCTGGACTTTCAAACAGGCAACCTCAGAACCAGTTTGTTTCTTATTGCTAACAAGATCAGTTTCAGGGTGGTTTGATGATATTTGAGTATCAAGACTGAAGTTGGCCATATACTTTATGGGTAGAAACGTTAGCAAGTAAGAAATTCCATAATCAGTCGATCGCTAATGTGTTGACCTACTATTTTCTATTTCACAGACTTTTGTGTACAGACTTTGTAAAAAGTTGTAAACACATATTAAGATATCTTGTTTTCTGTTTTTGTTATTATTGTCATCTTTCTTAAGATGCCAGAGTCACTTTACTGAAAACAATACAAGTCTACATTTATTTGTATGTGTATGCTGTAGTGAGCACCTTTGTGGATCCGAGCTGCATGGCCGGCGAACTTCGGTAAGCAGTGGAGAAAAAATTGTATCCGACCTGCAAGCCCATCGGAACGCCTTCAGCCAGAATCGGGACAGAGCGGAGAGTGAGCCAGACCCCGATCGAGACATCGAGCTTGAACTTCGCGCTCTGGATATGGAGGATTCAGACCACCAGGATATCAAGTCTCAGGTTGGTCCCGTCCCACGTTATCTGTTTAGATATTTTGAGGCTTTTCGTTGAACCCCACCCACCACTGCCAAGTAGAGGAATCTTGTCGTAAAACACACCACCATACATCTGTAATCTTTGCCTCATAGGAGTCTTTAGATCTGGCCACCCCACAATCTCAGGATGCCTCCCACCTCCTCCCGCCTCCCTGCTCATCTCCCCTCCTCCCATCCCCAGCAGAGGAGCACCCCCAAACAGAAGCTCTTATGACAGAAAAGATGGATGCCCACCTACTGAAAAAGATGGCGTTCAGGTGATTTATTATGGCAACCACTTACAAGATCACCCTGTTTGCATCTGATCAACCCTCGCTTGACCTGCATTGCTTTATTAATGCTTTCTTCCATCCTTTCTATTTTTTTAATCTTTCAGAAAGTCTCTGTCTCCGGGAGGGCTGGTTTCTGGAGGTCTGGGCATTGGGAAGCTGGTGCTGCGTACAGGACCTCCTCGACTCGGTGACGCCTCCACCAGGGCTTGTCCAGAAACAGCCGAGATGCTGCTCAATGGGAGCTAAAGAGACACAAATTCGGACCTACAGTGAAACTGATGGGTCATTTGCCCACAATCCAACTGTGGTTAAAGGGAATAGTATTCAATTCCAGGCCATCATAGGGCCAACACAGAATTAAACAACCATCCACAGTTACACTGACTCCTGGGGTCAATTTGAAGTCCCCAGTTAACTTAACATGTGCTTTTTAAACTGTTGAAGCCAGCTGGGAGGAACCCTCGGATACGAAGGGGAGAACAAGCAAACTACATAGAGAGGAATCAACTGGGATTGGAACAGGAAACTTTCTTGCTCTGAGGTGACAGTGCTAACAGCTAATCACACCACTGTGCATCCTCACAGAATTTCTTTGATCCAGAATTTGACTCTATTTATTCTCTATAGGAGGCTCAAATTGTATTAGGAGCTGGGTTCCGTGCTCCCTGGGCTGACCCTATGTACTTAGTGAGAGGGAGAATAAATAAGTAATTTGATGTAGTAGATTGTTCTTCAATTATTTTCTTATTACCCACACATGCAATGCTTTGAGCATAGTTTCTGTGTGTACACGCTTTTTAGCTTGTGCCTTTAAAGATATTTTTTTCCATTAAAGCTGGCGCTGATTGATACTCCAGCTGCTTGTAGCTATTCAAGGATCGGACTGAATTAAATAGTAGGATTATTTATTACCCCCTCTTATGATAATTGGATGTCTTTAACCAATCGTCTCTTAACATGTGGGAGTAAGAATGCATGAACACTCGGAAGAGCCTTATGAAGCAATGCCGTCATCCAGAGTTCTGCGATTAGTTTAAAGTATCTGTGACAGGGAGACCCTCCAGGCAGATATGTTGTTTAAAGCATTGGCAATTAGCCTGTCTGATGCCTCACGATGGAAAGAGAATATGCCAAATACAAATACAGTATTTATCTGATGAATTCTTGTCTTGTTATCACATATAGAGTTATAACACGTGGTTTAGTTCTTACTGAGCCAGTAATTTCCAGAGGTCCTCCGACCGACGCGGTTGGAGCATTATTCCCAACTCTATTTTTAGGGCATTAAGTTTGTAAAAGAGAGTGGTATTTCGACAACCCTCCTTCAACACATTTGAAGAAGCATTTATTTCTGGAATTGAAATGTAATCCAGTGTTTAAAACAAGAATGCCTGTGGGAGCAAAGTTTGCTAGATTATTCTTGATTTATATTTTTAAACCTCGTCTTGGGCAGATTTAATTGCCTGAATGCAAATCACCATTATGGCCGCCAACATTTAGTTTATATTTTTCCCAAATTCAGTTAACCTTTTTTAGTTATAATGATGACATTCATAGGGATTACGCTTTCCCTTCTGAGAATATAAAAGAACCACAGAACTTAACAGGTCTTCAAAAAACTGATTGTGACGGGCCTGTGTTCAACGTCATATGCTTTAAAAAAAAAAAAGCATATGACGGTTCCTCTGACAGTCATAAGATCACCAAATGCACTGTCATAAACATTTTTTATGAATGATCACAGGTCTGGTCACAAGCTCTGTGGAAGCAACTTCATCTCTCTTTTTTTTTATAACCCATAATAGAAAACATTTAACATCTGCTGTTATCTTGCATCGTTGAAAAGCAGTTAGTCTTTGGTTGTCACTTCCAAACCACATTAACAGGGGATCTGTATAAAAGGCTTTTGTTTAATCTGTGTTCCTGTAGTAATAGCTGGAATATTTCCCTGGAAGTGTTCTGTCTCACATGCTCAGACAGTACCGTGTACACAAGCTGCCGTTCACACAACTGACACAAGCACGCAACACAGTGGCCTTTCTCTCCTTCGTGTTGCATTAAGCAAACTCCCGTTTACTGTCGGTGGTGTCATGGGCCACATAAATGTGAACTCGCAGAAGGAACGCTGGAAGTCGTGGCGTTCCAGTGCAGTCACATTTGTGTTGCTGCGAGTTCAAACACACACACGGCTTCATGTTGAGAGGAGAAGCCAACAAACGTGAGCGGCGCTGCGTCATGGTTCTCCACCATTGTTGTTTAGTTTTTTTTTAGTTTTTTTAGTTTTTTAGAAGTTTTGGTTGATTTGATTTGACGCGTTGCTAACTTCTGTGAAGTTTTGTATTTTGTATTTTTGTTGTGTTGTTTGCAGTTTGCTTCTCTGCACTTTTGTTTAGCATGGCTGATGACCATGACCCATACGCAGAATGTAATGTCACGCAGACGCATCGGTTTGTTTACACCTGATTCTAAATCTACTTAAAATTCTGTCAAGCGTGAAGAGGAGGGTTACTTAATCTCTGAACTGTTTGAACTTTTAATATATCCCTCTTTTCTCAGCTACCATTCGAGACGTGCTGTTTTTAAACTGTTAAGTCAACAAGTGAGCGGTCTGGGGACTAGTTCCCGAAAAAGCAGGGGGCGATTCTTTGTGACTCAGTGTGATAGTACTGCTTTGACTGTATTCGTTTCTGAGCATAGCGGGTAAGGGCTGGCGCAGGTGATTGAGCTGCACCTGGCCATCGACTAAGCTTGGCTAACCTACCGTCACTCTGCTTCTGTTTACAACTTCACCTTTGAAGTCATGTAAAGTTAAGTGCCATGCTGTGTACAGTACAATCAGACCCAGTAAATTTCCTACAGCTTTTCATATTCCCTTCATGTAAACTCTGTGAGGAGGGATGGGCTCGGTCAGGGTGAGGAGCGAGACGCTTCTCTCTTGTAATTTTGCTGTTTTCCATTAGAGGAGGCTAAATCCTTGTCTGTGAGAATCGCTCAGGGAAGACCTCATTTTCTCCGCGTGTGTGTTTTTTTCCTTGAAACCTCAGTGGAAGTGTCCCTCAGAACGTCACTTTGCCAGTTTGTTTCCCTTTCTCTTATGACGCTCAATTGAGTTGAAGCATTAGCGCTGATTGTCTAATTTGCCAGTGTTTCCTTTGCCAGTGTTTCCTTTTGCCTCACAGTAATCAGTAATGGCTGTGCTGTTAGTGTCATGACAAAGGGCTGGGCACATACTGGACCGTGTGTAAAAACAGTATTGTGTTGGAAGTGATTATTTCGTGTCTGTGGAGCACTGTTGTAGTGGCTAACCGCTCTGCACTCATTTTCACCCTCCCTCCCCCCACCACTGCCAGTGGGTACCAGCGAGTGCCCCTCTCCCCTCCACCACCACCACCCTCCCTGCATCCTGCATCATGCATGCAACCTAGTCCCTCTTGTGATGGCGGAGGAGTATAATTGATTCTGTAGTTGTGATACAACACACCCGGCGCTGTAAGAGTTCTGCACATGCCCACTGTGTGGCCACGTCAAGTGCTGAAGTTTGCTTGCAGCATTTTAATTGCTTGCTCATGAAGACAAATTATTGTTTATCAGAGACTATATTATTATTATTATCACTATTACTGTTATAACCACATTCGGTTGTTGTTGTGGTATATTTTCCTTCTTATATTCTTATTCTGCTTCTTTGTTTTGAATTTGAGAGGTTGCTGAAACTTTTTCTTTAGACAAAGAAGTGTCTAATTATTCTATGTTATATGGAGAAAAAAAAAGCTTGTTTGTTGATCGTGAAACATGATGAACTGATGTTTTTTGACTATTCATGTCTGTATTAGACATCTTATTTGCAAATCTATTGTTCGATTGAAATGTAAATGAACCTTTAAGAGATGGTACACATCTGTCATTGTATACAGTCTGGCACCATCATTAGATGGACTTATAGTATTAACGGTCATTTCTACAACCTGTTATAATCTGATATATTTAAATGTTTAAATCATTGGGGCAGCTGTTTAATGTTTCAGAACAGGGAGAATAAAATCCTTAAGAGACAGTATACCTAAAATGACCCCGAAATGAATAATACTGTTATGTATTCCATTTATTTCCTTGGAAATATCACATTGTGAAAGGTTTCCCTTTTACTTACTTTATGGTAATGCAGGACAGGAGTAGAGTCTAACCTGTAGTGATGATTTATGTGCTATTACTAATAGATGGAACTGTCCTAGTTTTGTTTCACGGACTGATTGATTCTTCTGTGCATTTTCTGGCTTGTTCAGCAGTATTACACTGACCTACAGGGAGCTCGGCCGAGCATCAGATTGTTTCTGTGTTGCACTGAGAGACAGATTAAGGAAAAAGGAAAACTACAGCACATGAAACTGCATGTAAAAATAAACAAACAAAAGTGAGTTCATTGTGTGATATTCTTTATTTAAAACAGCCATTTTTAGAATAATTTGTTAATGAATATGCCTTTTTTCCATGCCCACATATTTGTAGGGGATAATTATACAGGAAACAATATAGATATTATATTAAGTTTTTATAATGAAATATGCAAAAAGTGCCCGTGCACTGCATGCAATGTTAACTTTATATGGCAAAGCTGAATCCACACAAGCACTGGCACAATTCAAAGAAACCTATAAGCAAGTGAACATGATTGAAGAATATTTTATTAACATCTACACCATCCATCCAAATGGACAATTGCTTGAAATGAAGGCAGCATTAATAGGGAGGAAGAGAATAAGCTACAGTATCATTACAGGTTGCCCCAAAAATATCACAGCACACAGGCCATAACTTGAGAATGTGCTTCTTAAAAAGGGACAGTCACTTCCTACAAACTTGGCACCAGCTCATTAAAGAGGCTCTGCCACAGCATGATGTCTGGAACAATGACCACCTCATCACAATCATCAGACGTCAACCAAGATAACCCTTGCTTTCTCTTCAGCACAAAACTGGGGGAATAAATGTTGCTGAGGAACCTGGAAAGACGCTTAATGAAATTTGGAAGCACATTTTTTAGATGGTTGCTCTTAGTGTTATTTGTTTATGTCCAGTGTGAATGCATCGTAGCGACACAAATCCAGAAAGACAAGACAGAAAACAGGAAAAGCGACGTGGCATACAACCAGTACAATACACGTCTTGTACACAAGTCTTTCTGTGTCTATTTAAAATTGCACAAATATTGGACTGTTTAACCAAGAAGTAATGTTATTTAAAGAGGGGTATATTTGACATATTTCTATCCACAGTGGTGAGCTCCCTGCAGTTGTAATACATTAAAATATTTTCAGAAGCGTATGTTATTAGGGAAAAAGGGGATAAAAAAAATTCAAGATGCCACCATAACTACTGATATTTCTTTCTTTTTATCATCTTGAATTATATGCCTGCTTCTTGTACTCTGTTAACCTTATGTGGAACGGCAGCTCTCGACCGGCAGGACAGGAATAGCCAGCATGACCACAACACAGTGACAGAGCTGGATGTGTTTGGAGGCTGGTAGATCAACGAGAAACTGCATCAATCACTTAGCCAGTCAAGTTCTCTTGGAATACAGATGAGTGCGTTCTTTTTCACAACATGTCAGAAAATATTTTGGACTTGAATGTTTCAATTCAGGAGATTTGAAAAGTCAAGTTTTGAATTCAGTTTTTTCATTTGGTTGAAATGAGCAAATAGTGCATGATTAGCTCCATGTATCCCACTATTGAGTTATCTGTACATTTTCCCTGAAAACAACATAAAAAACCCCCATTCATTATAACAATGAAGTGACTAAGTTCAGAGATAAATATTAGATATTACACTTTGCTATGATTCTATAGTCAGGAATTCCCTTGTACTGAAAACCAAATTCAAACCACATTTAAAGTACTGGGGTTCAGATTGACCTAAACCCTGTGTAGCTTTGTTTTGAGGTCTAAACTAGGACTGAACGGGACTGAAGATATAAAACAGCTCGGGTCATTAAGGCCAACGCCTCTCTTGGCACAGACGTCTATGGACACAGGCTGGAGGAGTGCTGACGCGCGCATGCGCAGTGTGGTTGTCAGCGGGTTGGTTGGGCTTGTGTTTACAGCTCGGCTGGATGCTGTTGGCTGCTGATGTTCTTGGGAAAGTGCAATGTCGTTCCAAACGCCACTAAAATAGAAAATACTGTGGGAATAAAGGTAAGATGTCTTGTGCTTCCCCCTGCAGTTATGTTTTAAGTTTAATGTGAATGTCACCTCAGTTTGGAGGAAAAATGCCTGTTTGTTGCTTGGTAGCATGGCTAGCAGGCGCTAGCCAAGTAGCTATAATAAATTGGTGGCCTGCATTAAGGCTCTAACCAAGGCGAATAAGTCACCGGGTTTATTCACGAAATTGCAAGGGACGCTTTAACAGACTGGTCGACATAAATTATGCAGCGGCGACTGAATTGCTTGGCCAAATGCTCCTGGGGTGGTGAAACATTTTGTTCGGTTGTGTTACATCGATGTCTGATGCTGCTATCTTAGCTAACGTCAAGCAGGTAGATGATGGCTAACTAAGTTAACACCAGAGCTAGCTTGACTCTCCCAGCGTTATCGAACAAGAACTGTTCAGTAAATGCTTAGTTATCTGTTGAGGAGCAGTGAGCCTTTAAATACCTCATGAGGTTTCTTTGGCTGCATCGATAAACCACGGCTGCTTGTATCTAGATCAAGGGGGGGTGTCTGTGTTGTTTATATTGAGACTGAAAGGTTCTCACCAAAGTGGAGTAGCTGTGGTTGCTTTAAACTTAGACTTATTTATGAGAACTTATGCTTATTGCTGGAAACACGGAAGGCATTGTTTTGCTTAATTGTATCTGAAAGAAATTGAGGTGGTATATTTTTCTTCAGAACACCTGCTTTAAAGTTCATATCAGTCAGACTGTTCACATGGTAAAGTATGGGGATGACAGTGGCCCTATGAGGGTACAATTAAGTACTATGCAGTGAATATTTATCCAATTAAGTCATTAATGAACATATTTTGTTGCAGTATGACAAGAAACTGAGTGTAACTACTCTGCAGCTTGGCTTATTGAGTTATTTTGGAGTCCAGTATTTAGTCACAAATAATTTACACTGTTGCATAAGAGAGGAGCCTGCAAGGATTGTAAAGAAAAGTGACTCAGGCGATATGAGTCAGTGTCTGACGTTATAGGTATAGAATGACATGCAGTGATACATTTGACTGATCTGGATTAGACTGGTTTTATACACATATTGAAAGAATGAAAAAAAAGTTGTAGTTGTACACAACAAAAATCAACATTAATTGAATGTTCAAATGGCATTTTCTTCACCTTCTGTTTTGTTAAACACATTACTTGGTGCAAGTTTGGGCTGAAATGACCTCCCAGCCCACAGTGGAGTCACTTTGTGGGAAGAATTACAAAAGCAGTGGCTTGAATCTTCATTAATTTGAGGGCTAATTAACATGCTAACATTGATCATTACTACAATTTTAAATAAGGATAGTGAAAACGACAGAGAGTGGAAAGACAGAGTTCTTGTAGCTGTGTGTGTCACTTTCAGTTCAGAATTAGCTGGGTTAATTGCTGAATCAGCTTGTTGCTTCTGTAGGTTTCATTGGACAATAAAACATATCGCCATAGGTTGTGTTGCGTTTAAAAAACTACTTGAGGCTGTTGAGAAATTCCTTGGATGTTGCATGAACTCTCTTTATGGCTTATGTTGCAGATATGTTGATGTCAATTTAGTGTAGTTGGATTTTTCCAGTTACTTGATTAAATCACCATGCACATTGTCTTTTGCATCTGAAAGGATTTTGGACAGGTGATCTATGTCTCTGCGTGATGCTCTCAGCTGGCTTTTAGGAACTCATAAAAAAGATTTCATGCAGTTGTTTCTGCAATGTAGCTAATACATAATATGGCCTTGGCAACCAGTAGTTGCCTCCAGGAAGAATAGAACAAACTGTCTTGAATGTTATGAATCGCTGCTTTTTATCTGTTATAAATTTGATGTTTGTGAAAGACTGTTTGAACTATTGCTTTAGAATGTTTGGGTTGGTTGGACCAATTTAACTGAACATTATAACCCCTTGCAAAGACCAACAACTTACACCCATAACTGTATCCACCCTGTTCTTAGTTCCTTTTATTGTACTTCCTAAACTGAAGATGATTATGTATGTGGCTGCGGATAACTTCACAAAATCATATTAATGTCAGTGTTATTGCATGTTGCAACTTTAGGAAAGTTATAGTGATAGCCAACATCTTTTCTGTTTTGAACACATAACCATCACTGGTGATTCCTTTATTATATCTCTGTGAATTGCACCGCTATTGTGCTGAAATTTGGGACTTGATGCAATATAAAATTGATGAAGGTTTTCCATACACCCTTTTTATACCACGCTAAGAGATAGCAATTCATCAAGAAAGGGAGAAACTGAAAGCCCAGATCAGTTTGCAGATCTCTTTTCAGTCTGTTCCTCTTGCAGAAGGTCATTTTCATACACCGCACAGCCCAAACCGCACCCCTCCAACAGTGGTCTTCTCTGTGTTTTTCATGGCGTGCAGTCAAGAGGAGAGCCACTTCAGCTGCTTAACACAGAAAGGCACACAATTTTTTGGCCAATAGTTAATTAATTTGTAACCAAAAACTAGGTGGGTACCAAGTTGTGACGATCAAATGATAAAAAAGGAAAACAATACAATACCAGCATTTCCACATTTTCCAACCAGAGTTTTATTGACATTTCTCCTGATTGTCTTACATGGCAGCTATGAATAGTGCAGCTGTTTTGAACATTTCAGAGATTAGGAGATTTGCCTGGGTTATTATTTGATTATTTGCTGCCATGCCAGCGGCTGATTAAAGTTCGATGAGTCACACAAGGTCAAACAGTGCCTATCACAGAATCCACTTCATCCACATAGCATTTAGCAAAGAGCGGACACATTTCCTGAGACAGGCACAAAAAGTGCTAATAGAGACTTTTTCTGTCCCCTTCTCTAACTTAAAGTTCACACTGGATGGTTCTAAAAGCATGTTGTGCACATGTTTACACACAGTTGTGTGAGGTTTGCAGCGTAAGCCACACTTCTGTTAGCCACAGTCAGACCAGCAAAGTGTTTATGAAAAGTCACATTAGAGCTGAAGCTCCATCATGATGTTGGTTAAAGATCAGCGCTTTGTATTTGATTCAAATGAATGATTTCTTAATTTTCGTTTCTCGTAACAAAAAGGACATCATATCATATGATTTGATCAATCTCGCAGCAGTTTCTCTTTCAATTTCCTTCAGTGTCTTTTGTTGTGTGCCTGGCTGAAATCACGGCTGTGAGGCAGGTTTAAAGGAACTATGCTGCGAGGCTGAATGCTCTCAGGCTCGCTCTGTTTATGCCTGTGTTGTCCTTCCTCTTATGTGGTGCACATAGGCCCCAGCTGGCAGCCCAGAACAGCCCGTTCAGATTGAGAGTAGTGGGGACTAAAGCAAAGCAAAACACACACGCACACACACACACACACACACACAAATCCCGTCTGGGTGTCCAGGGTGCATGTTTTCTCTCATGAATTGCCACATACTTTACTATGTGTTAAGAGGGAGCAATCTTGTCAGTTAAATGTTTTCACATATGAAATTTAAAAGAGTAAGACATTTTTTGTGTGTGCTATGGGTCAAGTTGATTAAAAGGAGGCTTGAATAACAAAATAACCTGGGTTGAGACCTGATGAACCAAAAAAAAACGGCTAACACTTGATTAGTGTAAACATTCAGCCAATGAGCAGCAAACACACCAGTATTCAAAATGGCATTCTGCTATTTAAAGTCCAGGCTGTCTCTAAAAAGTACTGAGCAGACATCTTAACACAAACCTAAAACACAGAATAAAACTTTGATAACAAACAACACTGGACGGTGTTCAGGTTTCAGCCCCCACCTTTCCTTAAAGGTCAACTTTCTATTGCATATTACATATAAACATCTCAATATTCGGTACTGTACATGTCCGACTGACTTGTAAGACGTTTTAGAATTTGGAACTGAATCATTCCTGCTACAAGAAAGCACAGATCAGACCAATTTGTAGTATATTGCTCAAAAACACAAAGTGAACTTGATCCATTTATTAGTATCGGAATACAAATATGTGGAGTCTGTCCGACAAGAGGTTAGCAGTTTCATTGAACAAGGAAATATGCAGGAAGTGTTCTATACCCCAGTAGAAACCCCTGACTGCCTACTGACTCTGATTTACCTTTTTATGACATTCTTACTTGCTTTGGTCATTATTATCAATTTATTAATATTCCCAACTGCCCATATTTACAATTCTGAAACTATCAGTGGATAATGAATCAAATGCCTCATCAAAATCTCCAACTTTTTGCGTCTTCTCAGATGTCAAACTTATTTTCGACTTGAATGGCCAGCAAGACAGAAACAAATAGAATTGGCAAACCTTTTGCAGACCTGTCTGTAAAAAGTAATTGCTGCAGGCTTGTAAGCAGAACGTATTTGTCTAAGAATCAACACTTTTGCCAGAGGCGTTTTAGACTAAATGAAACACTTCCGAATAATTTGAGCATTTAGATAATGTTCAATGATGGTGAAATTCAGTACCCTCGATGACTGGCAGAGGACTATGCAACTTTTTGGGAGCGCACCAAGGCAATGAAAAGGTTGATAACGAACAGCGTGGCTTGGCAGGAGCAGGCAGAGATCTGTTGCTGAGGCTGAGGAGGAGAGCAGGGTGACAAGGCAGCCATTATGAGTCTGCTGGAGCTGCCAGCCAGTCGGACAGAGTGCTGTGTTTATGCGTGCATACAGATGTGCGGCCTGTGGCTGAGTAAGTACTTATTTGTGTTCATGTTACAGATGCCTGTGTTTCTGAGTGTAGAACTATATTTTTTTCACTTTCTGTGTGGAAGCATGTGTGAAAGTATCAGCTGCAAAGTTCGGATTTGCAGTCTTTTCTTGCTGCTCATCATTTGAATGAGTCGGCGACGCCATCCACCGAATGCTCCAGATAAAAGAAAAACTCAGCATCTAGTACCCTTGTTTTCACGTCGAGTGATTGAAGCAACAGTTTCAAAGTGAACTGCTCTAACTACTCCATTGAACAGGAATAAATTAAACTTACTGTGGTTATGATTTTAAGAGAGGCAGAAGTATGGAGTTATCCATAAGCAATAGTACTCTTTGAGACTTTTATCTATGCGATGTTTAAATGTCACTGCTGCTCTGTGCATTTCCTGTAACAGAATAATTTAATAGCATGAGCGTGTGCAGAAGCTGTTGTTTTAATGACACAATATTTTTTGCAGTTTCTTAGTTTCTGATTTTCCGAGTAAAAAAGCCATTTGTCAATGAGCAGGACATTTGCAAAGTGAAACTGATACTATGGTGCAGAAAAGTGTCCAATGAGGAGGTTACCTTTGTTCCATGTGACTTCATAAGTCATTAGGGCTTCTTACCTTAACCTACAGACATGAATCGATATGTGTTGAGCAGATGTATCAAACTGGCCAAACATCGTTTGGTGTAACTGTCTGAGTAAGATTTATCTGTGAATGTGGTTAAGAAACAAATGTATATGGTGTCATCCATGTGTGTCAAGTGTGTATCAGTCACATCAACAAAGACTCCTCAGAAAAGGTGGGCTATCAAACAAACTGGTGTGTGGTTTAACTGAATAGTTTCTTGAGTTACCAGAAGTAAGAAAAAAAAAGGAGTCTGGACTCGTTCATTTCCACTTTCAGTCTTGAAATTATGAAGAGAAAAAAAAACAAATGTAGTCACGGGTTGTTTATCTTGTAGTTGGTGGCCTAAAAACATCCCATACAGACAGCGCCATGATTACTCAGGGTGGGGTCAGCCAGGCCAGTATGACAATTTAATCTGAGGTATTACACACTAACTGCTTTGATTTTTCTCCCACTTAAAGAATTTTTTATTTCATTGTATTGTATAGGAAGGGTGGGTCTGAGAGACCCGTCGGGGAGAAAAACAGCAATGAAAACCTCATGTGACTACAGTGCAGCAACAAAAGAGAAAAGAGGAAACAAGGGAAAATTGTTTGTTCTGGTCTCTTTTTGAATGTCTGCCAGAACATTATGTTGAGCCTGTCTTCCTGTGCTGCACACAATGGCATGCCCTTTTTTATTAGCTGTGCCATGAAGGTGAAGCCTTATATAGAGGTTCCTTCAAAAGGAACAACAAAATCCTTATTCTTACTTGAGCTACAGTTGGGACACATAGTGTTCTTTGTAATCATGTTGTGTGGTCGAAAAAAAAAAACTGTCCGTCCTGACATGGTTTAGAGGATGTTTGTTGTAAAAGGGGCTTGTTCCTTTAATCCGTGCTTGCATTGCATCACCCGGGCCTTTCTGCTCTTCATCAGACCATTCTACAAATGAGTTGTCTTTGCTCTGCTGAGATTTACAGACTCCCGTGACCCACAGGTTATCTTTTAAGTCCCATGGCTATTTCATAGTACAGTTTTACCTGTCACTTTCACTTGTATTGAGCTTTCTTGCTTAACCTTTTATTTGCGCCCTCCCTTTGCCTTCTCTCTAGATTAAGCAAATGTCAAGTTTCCTGTAAAGTCTCTAAATGGGATTAAAAAGCATTTCACCATTTATTTATTTTTAGGGCCTAACAATGTGCTTTCCATGGATCTCATCACATCATGACTGTTTTCTGCTTCTTTCTTTCATTTATTTATTTATTTTTTTCTTTTTCTAGGTGATTTTGCTCATCATCTCCCACCTCTTCCTCCTCCTGTCCTCCATTCATGAGCAGCGTGGCTGAGTTTAACAGCGGCAGCCATGGATGACAAGGGTTCGGTGGGGAAGATTAGCCTGTCTTCAGACTCAGTGTCCACTCTCAACAGTGAGGACTTTGTCCTCGTGTCCCGGCTGGGGGACGAGACACCCTCCTCCACTAATAATGGTAGTGATGACGAAAAGACAGGACTGAAGGTAAGGACGGTTGGTGGAGGCAGGGAAGTACGAGGAAGAGTAGAAACACTGGGCATCACTCAGACATTTGCGGCTACGCCATGCAGAGGTGCTTGTCGCAGTGGCTCTGGTCCGTGCTGATAACCCTCATGTTGTGACCGTGATGACAGAGGAGCAGCTACACCAGATTTCATAATGATAACATGTCCTGTGTCAGACTTCAAAACAGCTCAGTGACCGACGCCATGATGTACCACAGTTTATTATGTTTTTAGTTACTAGCCCTTATCAGACCATCACATCTTTTATAAGAACTCTCCTAACCATAAAACTAACCATCTCTTGTTTTGTTGTTCATTCTATCTTTTTGCCATAGTTAGTCTGTGTGTCATTTTTTATAGCTGCTGCTCAGGGGTCTTTAACCCTTTCTTTATGTGTGGGGCTTCAGTGTGTATTGAAAGCACACTGACTGAGGACGTATTTGCTGTTAGAATTTGACATCCTGCTAATGTGTGAGGAGCTCTATAAGTTTTTAAAGGTTTTCTGAAGTATTAGGAAGCAAAAAAAGGTGCTGTTTGACTTGGATTCACTAAATCCTCTCCTGGAAGAAAAACCTCATTGGGCATTCTATGTTTTGAAATTTATTGCCACTTAACTTTTCGCTTTGCTTTTGGTGCTATAAAACAACAATATGGTTGACCTGTGTTGTAAAGGATTTAGATGGAGGACTCCCTCTGTGTTTACAATCAGTCAATTACTTTTCAATACGGTAGTTTGTTGAAGAGGACACATGTGGGACGTGTCTTCAAACGTACCTCAGACCTACTGAAAAAGAAAGTAATGGTATTTTGAGCAGAGAGCCTATGAAGACTTTTGAGGCACAGCAGTCATCCTTTGTGTGTCCCTAAAGGGTTCAGATTTCTCCTCCTCTCCTCTCAGTTGTGTTTTGGTTATCACATGACCTTTTTATTGAATTTACTAGCTGGCTCACATTTTCTTACTATCCCCATTATTTGATGTCATTTCTTCTCCTTTGTCTGTTTTTTAAGGGACATTTCATATTGTAAATATACCACAAGATGGCACCAAAACCACATGCATGTTACACCCTTTAGTTCATAGGAGGATGCCACTCTGGTCTGCAGAGAGTTGGTTAAAGGCTCAGAGTTGCTTTGATGAGGAGCTAAGCTGATGCCTGGTGCTGCCTTCTTGGTTTTGTCCGCCCGCTGACTGATGGATGAAATACGACACCCCACACACATCCACTGTTCACACTATGCTGTGGTGAAATCACTCCATCCACAAACTGTTGGTCATCCTGATATGTTTTTTTTTTGTTTGTTTTTTTGGCGACACTCACACACTGAGCCCATCCAATCAGGAGCTGAGCGGAGTCGGTGTGTCTAAACTTGTTGTTTGTTATGCAGGTGATTTCTGAGGAAGGGGTCAGCTTTAAGGTCAGTCTCTTCTCTCAGCATCTCCTCTTCTGCTCTCTTCTCTTAGTTCTTTCCTCTTGCTTGTTTTTTCTCTCTCTCCTCTCTCTCTCTCTGTGATGTGATTTCGTGGTGATTTTGTATGTGATTCTTTGTACTCTGTGTATTTTTGCCATGTTTTGATGGCTTGGTAAGATCGGGATTTCGACGATCGTAGGAATATCCTTGGATGTAGGATGTAGTTTAGATGCCCACCCAGGCTTGTAGCACCACCTGCAGATCACATGGCTTCCCTTTTGCTCAGTGGCACAGTAGAACCAGATGTGTGAATCTTAACGGTAGCTGTAGCATCCATCCTGCTGTAAATAAATGGTTAGAGTAGCAGCACTGAATAAACAGCCCTTCACCTCAGAGGCACATATGGTAGTTATTTCTGACTTTTCATGGAGATTTTTCTTTAATTCAGTTCTCATCAAAAATACAGCAGAAAGCTAAATCAGGTAGCTGGTACTGTGTCAGTGCAGCAGTGTCCCCTGCTGTCCAAATGGAATGTCAGGCTTACTGTAAAGCAACGTGCTGCCACAGAGGGTTTGCTTAAGAGATTTGAGAAGCTTTGCTGCATTTGCTGGTATTTTATAGTTTGTCCAACAGTGAAATTGCTCATGATGGTTTTTATTTTATTGAATTTCTTTCTATTTGATGTGTTTCAAACAAAGATTCTGGCAGACTGTGCTGGCATTACTCCCAAAATATTTTGCGACTGGTATTTCATAGCTTAACCCCTTTTGACACCATGTTTTTTACATTTCAAACCCATAGAAGATGCACCATTTTCCCTTTTTAGGTTGAGAAAGTTTAACCTGTCAAATGGTTTTTCTTTCATGCATCTAGTTTCTTAGAGTTTAACACTTTTAGTTGTCCAGAAAATGCTTAGGGATTGTCTTAAAAAAGCTGTTACTAAACCAAGTCTGTGGTCTTAATGGGTTAAGCCTACTGATCTACTAATCACTCATATTGAATTAAACATAATCAAGATCTCTGAAAGTGAACTCATGCGAGGGTTTTTCTAGTCCTTCAAAATGCTGCAAATATAATCAGGCAGATATGCAGCACATATCAACTGAGCATAAGATGTACTAAAAGAGATGGTGTAGGCATGTAGATGAGCTTAAATTTAGATGTTACAGCCAATATTTCTATTGTCTTGTCACTGTAACAAAAATTCAGTGTTCTCTCTGGCTCCTTTTCTGTGCTTGTTCGTGTATCAGATCGTGGGAAATGGAAGTGAGCAGCAGCTCCAAAGGGAGTTGGAGGATGTCCTGATGGACCCATCGGTGGCAGACACTGTCCTCAGATCAGAAACAGAGATGGACGGTCTTGGTAGGGGCGACCATGGCCCTCTCCCTAGTACAGCCTCACCGGTAGCGCCAGGCTCTGACCCTCTGAGCGCAACCCCCCCCAAGCTGGAGATGATGCTTCCTGTGCAGACGGCCCAGGAGAGTGAGCTGAATGAGAGGTCTTACAGAGGTGAGCCAGGATTGTTTTAATCTCCTGCTAAAGCTCTCACCTTTAGTTTTATGAAGCTGTATGAGAGGTGAAGTTGGATTTCTCTACACTGTGTTACAATCGTCCAAGTTTTTTTAAATAAAAAGATTTTTATGAGATGACTCTGGTTCATTCCTCTTCTCTACCTCTCCTCTCTGTTTTTTCCTATCAAGTAAACCCATTTCAGACAAGAATATATAACAGTCAGATTAAAAGTCATAAAACCGTCCTTCTCTCCCATACTTCCTTTCCGTCTGCTTCCACTCAGCAGATGAATCGTCATCAGAAGGCAGTCCTGGCAGTCCAATTCCAGATGAGGACAGCGTTGTTTTTAGCCAGCTGACATATCTGGGGTGTGCTTCGGTCAATGCCCCCCGGAGTGAGGTGGAGGCCCTTCGCATGATGAGCATTCTCAGAGGACAGTGCCAATTACCTCTGGATGTCACGCTGTCTGTGCCAGGTGTATCTGAAGGCACTGTCAGGTATGTGTAACAAAAGGACTGGGGGCAAGCCATTTTGATATGAAGATCTGTCAGTAATGTGCATGTTAAAGGCCAGACCAAGAAGTGACAACACTGAGACACTAAACAACCGTTTATCTCCGTTCCAATAGGTTGTTGGATCCACATAACAACACAGAGATTGCCAACTACCCTATCTACAAGATTCTGTTCTGTGTGCGAGGCCATGATGGCACACCAGAAAGCGACTGCTTCGCCTTCACCGAGAGCCACTACAATGCCGAGATCTTCAGGATCCATGTGTTCCGCTGCCAAATCCAAGAAGCGGTAAGCGGTTATTGCCGTGTCATGCAAAGACGGTTGAAGAGCAATTTAAAACGATACAAGAGGGGATTCACTCAAGAAACTAGGTTGAAGTACAGCGGCTGTGTTCAGTGACCTGATTTTTTCCTCCACAGAAGCGCTCAGTGTAGCTAAGATCTGCAGCCAGATGCTACTTTATCAGTGCCTCATCATTCTGCTGAGGCCGACAGCCATCCATTATATATGCTCCCACTAAACACAATAGCATATAAAACACTCTGAAATACACACAGAAACTCAAACAGAGCTAATCCCCATAGTAATTCACTTCTTCACTTAGCAACAAGCTATCTCTGCCTCTGATTGGCTCTTTCTTTCCTTCTCCTCACTCATTGTCATGTACCCACACTTCTAGTCCTCCAGTAGCAAACTCATCCACTCTGTGTCCAGGTTATATTTTTTAAAGTTTGGTCTTCTTTTGCACTCTAGCAGTAGTGAGTCAGCACATTGGTTGGTTGCTTTTGGAGAAAGCTGTTCTAGTCATGTGTCTCTAATCAGCCACCGCTTCACAGTAAACAACTTCAAGGACCTTTCAGATCAGTCTTTTTATCCTCGCCATACTTGAACAATTTATCTTACAATCTACTCTGGGCCTCTGTTATCAGTTTCATGTATTTTTTTTTTTGTAGTCTGAAGTCTCTATGAACCACATATTCACTTTAAATGTTGTAATTCAAAGCTTTTCTTGCCAAATACTAGTTTAACTTAATTAGGAAATTTCCTTTAATCGAATGTATCACCCTTAAGCACTTTCAGGTGTCAATAGCTATTTTTGTGTTGGGATATTCTTTATAATTTCTTTCTAGGCAAATGTTCTTTGCTTTGTAAGAGTGGGACTCTTTAGTCCTGGTCCACTTCCGTTATACACGACCTCCTTATCAGGCCACATGGGTGGTTTGTACAATGCCAGTTTCCTGATGCAAATCCCGGCTGTGTTTTATACCTAACACATAACACGTCTTTTTCTTTTTTTTATACCATAAATTTGCTGCTTCTATCCAGAGACCTATATCCTGAACTTTTGTTCTATGTAAGTGATTTTGGATATTAACAAATAGAATTAGAATGACAAGGAACCTTACAAATTAAATATTGAAAGGACCCAGTTCACTTTTTTGGCATGACATCAATAAAGATGTCAAGCTGTATGTTAGTAACGACTTAAAGATAAAGCTGCCAAGTAAGGAAAAATCTAATTGTCCTGACTAGGACTCGATGCAGTCTAACTGGTGGCCTGATGCATTCCAAATTGAAGGCTGCATCCCATTCAAGGACTTTATGCAATTAGTTTCAGGAGAAATCTGTGGGTTGAAACATTTCCCTTCTGGGTTTAAGTTAGGTGAAGGTGAGAGATTCTTAATTTTGGAGTCTTGATCTGTTGAAAGGTTTTCTCAAAAACTGTGAAGCTTATTTTAAATGAAACCTTGTAGAGACTTTGACTTTGTCCACAGGAGAAACCCATGGTTTGGCGCAGATCGGGAAAAAATGGATTAAAATGAAGAAATCAAGTAGTTAATTTAATGGAGTAAACCCACTGTTAGTGCTCAGTTCGAAAATGTTTTCTTGAGTTTGTTTACCACAGAAGTGATGTGTATACACAAAAAACTAGAACAATAAACAATAAAAGGTGTGCTTTCGTTTTAGCATCGATGTGGACACAGAACATCACTTCTATTGTGTTAAATGCATTTATACCATCACGAATTGGGGAGGGGGGGGCACCCTCTTATCTAACTTGACTCATCCCAGACCTACTCCTTTGTGGTTGCTTAAAGAAAATCAGCCCTACAACGATCCCTGACATGATTCTGCTGAAGTGGAAATATAACAAAGTCTTTGTTTGAGAGCCCTCTGCTTTACATAACATTTTCCCCACACCATGCCCATGTCACTATCCCCATACGCTCTGCTGTTTGACACTTTCAGAGATGATCCAAAACTAGTGCGCTCAGCGCCTCCAGTTTGGAAAGAACTCTTTTTAAAGCTCATTTAGAAAATAGAAATAGATTTAGACTGCTAGTTTTTTCCACTCTGGGAATACATGAATGAATTCTATAGCAGCTCTTTTATTTGGGCTTTGGAGATAAAACAGAAAACTCTAAAACCTGAGGTGTCCAAGACTGGATGGTTTTTGTTTGATAACATTTTAAATAGTTTTAGAATGATTAAAATTTTTTAATCCTGTTTAGATCCGGTAGCAAATATGAATGAGATTTTAGATAATGTTGAGTTTCATTACATAAAAGTAAGGGACATACAGAGATCTACTGTAATGATGCCTTTAGTTAATGACTCAGTGGTTGCATTGATCTGTTTTTAGTGAAATGAAAGGAGCTTAAGGACTTTCTGCCTTTTGACACAGCTGATTTTATTCTTATAAGTAATACTAGAACAAATTGGGTAATGTGTCAAACTCTTGTTCATAGTTTAAAGTTGTTTTTTTACAAAATGACCTATTTCAAAGCTTTCTGAATCAATCTAAAAAGGCAGAAAACTTGGATAATCCTTAACTTAACTTTCCATGAATGACTCGGGGGAAGAGCTAATGCAAAACTATGAGTTACAGGTTTCATGTCATCTTACAGAGGCTGTAAGAGAAAAGCTAATAATGGCATCCCTACTAAACTTAGCTAATTTTGACTGATTTATTTCTTTGTGTTTTGTTTGTCTTTTGTATGTTTTAAATTTGCCTGCCCAGGTGAGTCGGATACTGTACAGCTTTGCCACAGCCTTTCGGCGCTCAGCAAAGAAGGCCCTTCTGTCATCTCAGCAGACTGCTCCGCTCACGCCTGACAGTGACCTGTTTACCTTCACCGTTAGTCTGGAGATCAAGGAGGATGACGGCAAGGGTACTTTTAGGTAAGTTTGTTATACAAGCCTTCCTCTATTTTACGGAAAGCAGGACATCATTCTTGCGCTGTGTGAGATAATTCCAACGTCCACTTGCTGTGAGGGTAAAAACCACCTCAGTAATTGTATCCAGACAGTGGAGCGTATGAGTTTTTTCTTTTCTTTTCTTTAATGGTTATCAATTTAAACTTTCCTTAAACGTCATTGTGAAATTGGATTTACAGTCATCCCATCTTCCACGGAAATGTTCACCAAATGACATTAGATTAACCCACCAAATGACTTGTGTAATGTACTTGACATGCTTCCCTCGTTTAATGTAACGTTCACAGCTACACTTTTTGGTGACCAACTCACAAATGCCTTGGAAACCCTCGGTCAAAATAAAAATGAGAGGGAAAAAGGAATGAATTACATTAACAATGCTTAAAAGGAAACTGTTGTTTCACATACTGCTGTAATGTCCATTCCAGGAAAGCGAAACCCATTTCATTTTAAATCGCCAGAACTTATGAAATGGTCCTGAAACAGCTCACAGCTTGTTTTCTTTTTTGCTAACAAAGGAAAGTAAGCTAAATCTTGTGAGCTCCTATTTTTATGACCACACACCACAGCACCGTCTCCAGCTGAGTGAAAAAGTACTTGTGGTGATTAGTGGCATGGCTACAATTCACATGCAGGCAGTGCGTAGTTGTGATAGCAACACAGAAAATGGCTTTTAAAATGCAAGAACCTTTGGCTTTAAACTCAGAACCTCACTTTATGGGGTCCCCAGTGAGAAACCCACCAAGCCTAAATGTCTTGCTCCCAGATTACACTCATGCAGATATTTATTAGTGAGGCAGATCAAGAAAACCACAATGTAGACTTCTTATATTTGCTTTATCCAACACTTTTTTGTTTTAGATTTAAGTCTCCCATACAAATCAGTCACTTTCATGTGTTAACAAGCAGCCATAGATGTGACCTCACATGAGAAACAAAACACACTAAAAGATACCAGTTTATTTTTAGCCAGCAAACCTTTCCTCCTCATTGGCTTTTGATGATTTTTAGTGTAACGACAGCTGAAAAAAAAGAACAAGTCAACACATGGGTATACCTGGCCCGTTTTTCTATATCAGTGGCCTTTGATTGTTTATGTGAAATGTATTGCTTTGCGGAAACTGCAGTGAGATACTGTAGACATGATTTGATTTAGTTTAATAGTTGCAAGCCGACTGAGCTTAACGCTAAACTAAAAAATGGTTTATGATCTGCTTCTTAAAATTCTCAGCAAGTTTGAAATTTTTGCCATAGCTGTTAATGTGATTAAAATGTTACCAAATGCAATCCAGCTATCTCATGCTAATCATTTTCTTCATGTTCCATCAGAAATATACTCAGAAAGGCTCTGAGACTTTTAATTGCCGTTTAAGAAAAAAAAAAAAGCTGATATTTCTACCGAACTAATGAAATTCAGTTTTTTCTGTCTTTTTTTATTTTTATTAAAATTATTTTTTAGTGCTGTAGCAAAAGACAAGGACAAACAGAGCTTCAAGCTGCGTGCGGGACTGGACAAGAAAATTGTCATTTATGTCCAGCAGACCTCCAACAAGGAACTGGCCATTGAGAGGTAGGATAGAGTACACTGTCACACATTATATTTTCAATGTAGATCTGTATTTTTATCTCTACACTTTACATATATCATCACATCCGTTTGGTTTTCGTGTACTAACAATAAAGTGCTGCTCTAGCACAGTTGCTAACTGGTAGGGATTGTTGGTTGGACACAGTTTGGGTCAGAATTTCTGGTATCTGATGATTTTAAGCTTTGACTTACTGCAAAGGTCTTCAAATAGAAACATCGCTGCTTTCAAGTGATTAATTTTGACCTCAGGCAAATGAGCATTAAAAGCCTCTAAACATGAAGGAAGCTCAATCAAAGTAATTGTTAAGAACAAGCCTTGTACAGCAATGTGCGAGTTCAAACTTTGAACAGTAGAGTTAAGATGGGAGCTTTTGCATATCTTAGACCGACAGATAACCCCTTCATTTGGCCGCAGGGATGGACAAAGATTTTCAGCTTTTTCAGTAGCTGCTGAACTTTTGAAATTGAATGACGTCTATGAGGAGGTCCTATTCGCTGCAGTGATTCAGAATGTTTGGGTTTTTTAACTGCACAAACCTGAAACAGACGTAAAATTGGATTTACTCATCTGAAATTGATACACAGTCATAATCGAAACTCTTTAGATCTGTTTGTGAGCTTATGACAGGGTTTAAGTGTTCTGGGGCAGTTTGAAGGTGGCGAGTCTGTGTCAGAGGCTGCTCATTTTCAAGGGTTGAATAAATCTTTTAGAATTCAAACATTCCTCTCAAACTTCTATTTTCATCTTGGGCTGTTATTGCTTCATGAGCTCAGAAAAGATGAGACCTGAGGAGATGTGTTTAGCTGTGCATGCTCTGGACTTTGTAAGGCAGCCAGGAATTTTCTGTAATTTATGTGATGTTTTTAAACTGGTTGTAGATCTGTAGGGTAAAACTTATTGCTCTAAGATTCATGCTCCTGCTCAGTTTTTCCTGTTTAATTTTTCTAATCTAATATTACTTTAGACAAATACCTCTTTAATTGGCCTCCAAATTTATATGTCTACTTACTATATATGTGTTTGTGTTCCTCAGGTGTTTCGGACTCTTGCTCAGCCCAGGGAAAAATGTCAAGAACAGTGACATGCACCTCCTGGACCTGGTGGGTGATTGCTTTCATGTGTAGGTCCTTGTGTATTCGTGTTTGCCAACTTGCTCTACCTTGTGGCCCATTAGGAGTCAATGGGAAAGAGCTCAGATGGGAAGTCTTACATCATTACAGGAAGTTGGAACCCCAACACGCCTCAGTTCCAGGCTGTGAATGAGGAAACGCCCAAAGGTAAGAGCCAAAAAATGTGTCCAGAATTTAGATAAGAAGAAATGTTCACAGCAGTTATTATATCAACAGTTTTTTTTTTTTACACCCTGTTGCAAAAATCTTTTAAATTGAGCTGTGATGGAGGTTGTTGGTATGAAAAAGTAACCATAATCGTTCAACAGATAAACTCTGCTTAATTTTCGGTTTCAAATCTATTATGGATAAGGAATTAGTTATTAATTAGTCATGGAAGTGATCATATAATATTTTTTCTTTTTTTGTTTTTTCAGATAAATTCATGTACATGACCACAGCAGTGGACCTGGTGATTACCGAGGTGGAGGAGCCGGTCCGTTTTCTCCTGGAGACCAGGGTCAGGGTGTGTTCTCCAAACGACAGACTGTTCTGGCCCTTCAGCAAGCGCAGCTACACTGAGACCTTCTACCTTAAACTACGCCAGGTTTGTGTAACTTTGTATCAGGGGTTTTTCCTGTCCATTGGTGAACTATTGAAAAATGTTCCATTCTACGTTCATTTCAATCTGCAAGACAAAGAAAGCTAGTGAACATATGTATCATGTGTATCTGGACTTAAGTCTCTATAACTGGAAACTGGAGATAAAACCAGTAGAATTACTGGCAGACACTTTGTATTTAAATGTCTGTTCAGTTCGGAATGAACAGAAACAACATAACCAAATGGGGATTACTCAAATGAGGGAGTTGAGTTCTGATAACATTTCTGCAACAGACATGATACTAATAAAAGCACTTTGAAGCAGGGGAATAAAGTTACCAAATGTCAGTGATCCACTAGGAAAAACTTTTTCCTCCAGTAGGATGCAAAGTTTAAGAAAATTCTGGGCAGCCACACAAACACACAGTTTGTGTGTTCAGCATCAGTTTGGGAAATTCTGATAATAAAAACCACTAAAATAGTGATCTCAGTTGTCTTGGCCCTCTTTTCTCCTGCATCAATTTTCCTGGGATTCATCAGATGTCTTGTCTTGTCAGATGGAGCGGAAAGAACGGAAGAGTCCTGCCTCTGACACACTTTATGAGGTGGTGAGTTTGGAGAGCGAGACAGAGAGAGAAAAACGGAAAACCACAGCTAGTCCCAACATCCTTCCTACTGGACCAGGTACCATGGCCCCTTCTCCCCCTGAGGAAGATGAAGAGGAAGGTGACTGAATGCTTGAATAATTTTTGTTATCATTTGGGATTCGGGGTTGAAACCACAGTCTGAACTGCCGCATCTTAGCTACCCGCTGGTCCATGACTGTGTCAGGCCTGGGAATGTGCATATCAAAGGCCATCAAAGCAGGTAGATACAAGGCTCCCAAACCGATGCAGCATTTCTTTAACAACAGCCCCTTTCAGCGCACTGACATGAAAGTGATGCTGCCTGGAAGCATAAGGTCGAACAAGGTCAAATGTGGCTGTGCCAGCATGTGCTGCGTGCTTTGAAATGTGTTCTGTCGAAGCTGTTTAGGTGTTTTACTTTCACCAAACTTCGCCAGAGAACTGTAACTCAGTCTTTGGGGGCGAAAGACCAGGAATAGACATGTCGTCCACAGGAGTTGAAATCATGAGTGAGATCACTGTGTTACAGAACTGTTTGTTCTGTATCCTCCCAGAGTGCTTAGCTGTCAGTGGTCTGTGCGTTTTGTGTGTTTGAGTAATGCGAGGGCTGACAAAGAGTGTGAGAGGCTGAAAGCATAATTAAGTTTGTTTTGGTGGGTGTGTTTTCATCTGTAGGCCTTTTTTCGTACCTTTTGAACACTGTGTCCAGCAACTTCCGCATGACTGTTGTGTGATAATTGTAGCTAACATTTATAGATCTATTTTTTTGTATAGTTCTTGTTCTTTTAAGTGATAAAAGATCCGCCTACTTGTGTATTAAAGAAACCATTAGTTAGGATTTATTGTTTCCCTTAGTGGTTAATGCTGTAGATCTCATGTATTTTCAATTTGTTTACATGGCTATGTGTGCAGATAATGATGAGCCCTTGCTCAGCGGGTCAGGCGACGTTTCCAAGGAGTGTGCTGAAAAGATTTTGGAGACATGGGGAGACTTGTTGTCCAAGTGGTATGGATATTTTTTCCTCTTAACTTTGTCTGATTCACCCTTTATTCTGGCTTTGTTAGTGCACACAGCAGTATTCTGATATCTTCCTAAGAGGCAACCACCTAAAGAAAAGAAAACAAAGCTTCCTAAATTAATTCACAAATACTTTTTGTTCATGGTTGCGGTAAAAGGTAACATGGAATGATAATACTGGATGCGGAAACACCTTAAAGATCTAGAATTTTAGAAAAAAGGAACTATTGAAACTGAGAAGCACAGTAAAAATGTCTATAAATTATTTTGAATATCTAGGTGAAACATAACTACATGCATGCAATTTTTTTTCATGCAGTTGTGTTTGTGCTGTGTTCCATTACCTGACCTGTTCTTACCGAGTATAAGTAACAGCACATGGCAATACACAAAGCAAGTTAGAGCTGTGATACCACTGCGATAAAAAGCATTTTCTTTTTTTTACTCTGAAAGAAATGCTACAAAAGAAGTTATTGTTTTTATCAGTTTTTGAGATTTATAACTTGTCTGATTAAAAATGAATAAAAAACTAAAGGAATCATAAGACTGCCCTGTTATAACATAGAGTGCACTGTGTATCTTTTACCTCGTGTGTGAGTGAGTGAGTGTCATCTCATTGTGGGTTGCAGAAAGCTTTTAAACCTTTTTCTTTGTTCACCCTGAGGCAGAGTCTGGCCTCACTTGCATCACATGCATACGCACATGCGTGTACACTCAAATAGAATACAATTTCCCCTTTTTATTCCCAAAGAAAATGCCCCATATTGCATAACCTGACACTTGCAAGAAACAAACAGCAAAATTCACTAAAGTAAGTAAGTGCAGATGTGCCTCCATGTTTCCCATCTCCCTGTGTTTCTAACTCTGTATTTCATACTAATTAGTGTGCTGGCAAATACCTGAGTTCATTCAAATCTTAGTGATGATGTTTTTCCAACAGATAATATTTTGATGCAAAAAATTAAAGAAGAAAGGAAAACACAATCTTATCTTCTGTTTACTTTTATTTGTATTGGCTTATTTTCCCTTTATTGATCTTGTTTTTACCACCCTGCTGAAAATAGGATAATGGTAAAGTGAAGTTGGACTACAGTTATGGGGTGGAAAAAGTGAGGGGTAAAAGTAGGGTTAGCATGTCATCCAGTCTGTGAACAAAAAAAGGACATGTTTTACATTCACAATGAGTAAACATTGAGTCCTTGATTGGTTGTGTCGCTCCTGAGAGGAAGAAACCATTGATAGCATTGTAATGGGTTGAAAGTGAAAGGAAATGGGATCAGAATTGTCGCATTCTCCAAACCAAACGTGCTAAAGCCTGCTCTTGCACATGTCCCAGGCACATGAACCTGTCAGTGCGGCCCAGACAGCTGCCGGCTTTGGTGCGGAGCGGCATCCCCGAGGCGCTGCGTGGGGAAGTGTGGCAGCTCCTGGCTGGGTGCCACAACAATGACCACCAGGTAGAGGAGTACCGCACTCTGATCACAAAGGTAAGAGCTCTCAGAAGAGTCCCTGATATCTTAGAATTCAGCAAGTTTGCCTGACAACAGCCCCCCTGTCTTTTCCCTAAACTGAACCAAACATATTTAGATACTGAAAGACTATTTCCTGCAGATCTTTTATATCAGTCCTTACACATCTTTCGATCCGTTCCCTCTTACTGAAGCGGACGGAATTTACATTTTTGTTTGTACTTGTTATTTTCCCTGGCAACGGTCCTGCTTCGTCTTTACTCATTAAAGAGCTAACCTCAGGGGGGCCCAGTAGCAAGGTTTCATAAGTGGTTCTCTCATGTGCTCCTGAACTTGTGATGGTCACAGCCATTGGCGTGTAGATCATTAAAGATGATTGCTTTTGGTGTTGTGCAAGTAAATTATATCTGGAAGTATTTATTGTTTTTAACTAAATAAATGCTGAAATTATTCTTTTGAATAGCATGTATTTTTAGGCCTCGCACAGTACGTTTACCAACACACAAATGTCTACTTACATAGATTATCAATATTTCAAAAGACTAACTGTGTATGACTGTCAAGCAAAAGGTGAAGAGCCAAAACCTTGGTCTGGAATTTGATCAGTCCTTTCATTTGAAATGATGCTTGATTTTTATTTAGGCCATTATAACTTTTATTATCTGTCTGTGTTTATAAATCACATTTTAGATGGTTTGGCTTTTGTTTTATTATGTCAATGTAATGGTTTTGGTTACTGCTGCTCTGTCCCTGATCATCTTATGTAAAGGCAACGTCTCTGGCAGGAAGCAGGGGCCCAGGTGGTGACAAAATGTTGGTCTTTACCTTTTCTCTTTAATTTGAATTTTCTCCCCCATTTCTCATCCAACCTATTTTTGTCAGCTTCCACACATCTATTTCTGTGTTCATTCTTATGTTATCACTGTACCAAGTACTGGTTGTTGCAATACACGTTTTACAGAAACAAAACAAAAAATCAAAAATACTTCTTGCTTGTTTTCTGAATGTTACAAATCAAGCTTTCAGTCATGTCGGGTTGCCACTATATTTATGAGAACTGGACAGAGTTGATAGGAATTTATCAGCCAATGAGATCACAGAATTGGGGAGATGTACAGCTTTATCTGAAGACTGAACGATACAGCCAAGAAAAGTTAAGAGAGTTATCATTTTCAGTTCTTGGAAGACACTGATACTTAGTTGCAAATTTTTACATTTCAAAATTCTTCTTATTTATAGTTCCGCGGCAACTTGCCTAAACTCTTTTATCCACTTGAATACAGTTGCATTCCATTTTGACTGCAACATTTGATTTTCTTCCCGTCAACTGACTCTGTTTTACACCAGGAGCGTTACAGGAGCCTGTCTTTTACCTGCACATGTTGTTCAGCGAGACAACCAAATAACATAGCACGCCGACACGAAAGGGGAAAAAATGGTTGTTCGGGGAGACTCAGACTAGCCTTGGTGCTGTTCCACTGTAGTAATAACCCCGCCACACAGAAAAACAAAAAGAACAATGAAATAAGATAGCATGCATGTTCTTGGAAAATGAGTCAAACTTCCAGCAGTTACGGAATGCACAGATACCCAGTTCAACTTTCTAAACTGTAGCAATTTGCAACAAGCTGAATTATTATTACTTTGGTCTGTGTTTTAACTGATAATTGCTCCACCGGAACACGTCCTGTACTAACAAGTTGTAAGCAGTCAAATCTACACAGGGCATCACTGTTCACATCTCGCACATAAATAACTCCCTGTCCTCTGTACATGTATGATACTGCTAATTGGGCAAGTTTGACTTAATTGTGCATTGTAACATATTGTGTACTTTTTTTTTCAACTGCCTGGATTCCCTTTGGTTTTTCTGTTTCTGACTTCCTATCAGTGTTTAAATTAGCTTTTGTCTAAAAGGGCGGCCTCTTTCAACTCCAACAGCCATGTAAGGATGGAAAGCAGGGCAACCCTCCCAGCTCGCATCCTGATTTCTATTGGAAACAGAAAAAAAATAAATTAAAGCTTATCTTTAACAGACCTTACAAAGTCCTGAGGCACTTCTTGGTACACTATATTGCCAAAAGTATTTGCTCACCCATCCAAATTATCGGAATCAGGTGTTCCAATCACTTCCATGGCCACAGGTGTATAAATTCAAGCACCTAGGCATGCAGACTGTTTTTACAAACATTTGTGAAAGAATGGGTCGCTCTCAGGAGCTCAGTGAATTCCAGCGTGGAACTGTGATAGGATGCCACCTGTGCAACAAATCCAGTCGTGAAATTTCCTCGCTCCTAAATATTCCACAGTCAACTGTCAGCTGTATTATAAGAAAATGGAAGTGTTTGGGAACGACAGCAACTCAGCCACGAAGTGGTAGGCCACGTAAACTGACGGAGCGGGGTCAGCGGATGCTGACGCGCATAGTGCGAAGAGGTCGCCAACTTTCTGCAGAGTCAATCACTACAGACCTCCAAACTTCATGTGGCCTTCAGATTAGCTCAAGAACAGTGCGCAGAGAGCTTCATGGAATGGGTTTCCATGGTCGAGCAGCTGCATCCAAGCCATACATCACCAAGTGCAATGCAAAGCGTCGGATGCGGTGGTGTAAAGCACGCCGCCACTGGACTCTAGAGCAGTGGAGACGCGTTCTCTGGAGTGACGAATCGCGCTTCTCCATCTGGCAATCTGATGGACGGGTCTGGGTTTGGCGGTTGCCAGGAGAACGGTACTTGTCTGACTGCATTGTGCCAAGTGTAAAGTTTGGTGGAGGGGGGATTATGGTGTGGGGTTGTTTTTCAGGAGCTGGGCTTGGCCCCTTAGTTCCAGTGAAAGGAACTCTGAATGCTTCAGCATACCAAGACATTTTGGACAATTCCATGCTCCCAACTTTGTGGGAACAGTTTGGAGCTGGCCCCTTCCTCTTCCAACATGACTGTGCACCAGTGCACAAAGCAAGGTCCATAAAGACATGGATGACAGAGTCTGGTGTGGATGAACTTGACTGGCCTGCACAGAGTCCTGACCTCAACCCGATAGAACACCTTTGGGATGAATTAGAGCGGAGACTGAGAGCCAGGCCTTCTCGTCCAACATCAGTGTGCGACCTCACAAATGCGCTTCTGGAAGAATGGTCAAAAATTCCCATAAACACACTCCTAAACCTTGTGGACAGCCTTCCCAGAAGAGTTGAAGCTGTTCTAGCTGCAAAGGGTGGACCGACGTCATATTGAACCCTATGGATTAGGAACGGGATGTCACTTAAGCTCATATGTGAGTCAAGGCAGGTGAGCAAATACTTTTGGCAATATAGTGTATATTGTTTTCCTTTGTGGAGGTTTGAAGTTTGGCCTTGGTAGCCAAAATGAACATTTTCTTTTTGTATTGGTAGTTCTTTTGAATTCTCCTTGTCACTTATTTCTCTCTGTTGTATAGAATGTTTAGAAAAGCCTGTTGGTCTCAAAAGTAACTCTTCCTTCTGGAGAGTGCTCTCACTTTAGCTGAATTTCAGTGTGTATACCCACTAGTTGTCTATAACTAGAGTGGTTTTAAACTGTTTCTCAAATGTCTTGAGCATAGCTAAATAAACCAGCATGCAAATGCAGACGGCAACATTGATATTTCACTAGATAGTAGTAGTGGTCTCAGGCTTTTAATGTAGCTGTCTTTTTTAATAAAGAAAATCTTTATAGATTTTGCAACAATCTAGTGAAGCAGTGTCCTGTCAATTACACAATATTTACCTGAATCTAGGGGAAAAATTTAGTTCTGTTCTTCTCAGTCTTCCTTTAAAATGTCAGAATTATTTGGACAGAAATTCTAAATGACTTTGTTGTGCATTAACAGTAATCTTTCACTTGAGGTAAACCCTTTGTTAGTAATAAGGCTGCCTCTTCCACCCTTCTCTCTATGTCATACTCTCATGATGTTGAGTTTTTTCCCCCACCAAAAATGGAGTATAATGATCTTCCACCTTGTCTTTTGTGGTCTTCCAGACACATTGTTAATGAATTCACCATAGTATTCACTTTTCAAAAAGATGTCATGAAATCATGAAAAAATTAGGCCACACGTGGCTGTGGCACTCTTTTTTTTTTTTGTCAGGCATCCAATTATTTTTCTCTCTTTTCTTTTCTTTTTTTCTTTTTAAATGAGATTGTGTGATATAAAATGGCTTTAATTACTTGATGGTTAAGATGTTTCACTGTGTGATATGTAAACGTCTACCTTTCAGTCTCAATTAAATTTCAGACTGTGGTAAATCATAGATATAAAATTAGAAAATGCTTTTGGACCTCATTGTAGATTTAAAGGAAATTGTCCAGTATCTGATACTCCCTAATGCGATTCTACTTGCTTTTTAATTTTCATTTGGGATTCAGCCCAGTCATTAGGAACAGGTGACATGAAAATGCTCCCTCTGATTGGGCACGGGGAATTGTCACTGAAAAGCAGACTGTAGCGTTGGTTTCTTGTGCAGTCGTGTGCACCGGCTCCATCTCTTGGTCTGGTTGCAAAAAGTTACCGATCTGTGCATGGAGTTTACACGTGGGGGCATTTCTCACTAAACTATGGACGTGGATTTTTACATGGATCCCTACACCCCTCCCCCAACTGCCCTGAGGTTAGCTCCATAGCACACATGCTTACACAGAAAGATGCCCCACATTTCCTCTGTACTCTCGTCTTCTTTTGTTGCCATCCAACACACTCAAGCAGAGGTTTTGTGTCCCATCTCAGCAGGTTCCTCCTGGGTGATGGTACACTGATTATCAGCTTATTACTGTATCACAGTTAGGTCTTTAAAACAGAGTGGAGATGAGTACCTTGTAGCAAAATGAGCAGATTCAAATTAGGCTGAATCCTGTAATGGGAACAATAACATTTGTTCATACTCATGCTGCTGTTGTTACTGGTACTAATTAGTGCTAATCATCGCGTGTGCTAAGTACATTTTTTCCCCTTTTCAGCTCATGTTTTCATATTTGTTCATACCATTCCCATGTGCCAGCTTCTAATTAGTTTTTCTTTTTTTGGAGGCTTTGAGTATTCGGGCTTGTGCTGGAGATGTC